GTGTGTGTGTGTGTGTGTGTGTGTGTGTGTGTGTGTGTGTGTGTGTGTGAAATAAAATGTCCCCCACTGAGAGCCAGAAATGCAAAGAAAGTCAGAACTTGCCGCTGTCTCCCAGTCACTCACCCAGTCACTCACACAAAGCAGCCATTAGTAAAATGAAGCCTCCTGTCTAGTTCAGGGGGTCCTGGGGCACAGCCAAGGGACACATCACAAGTGGTGACCTAGAGAACTCCCTGAGTCTGTTAATATCTGACAGTGACTAGCTCACATGTCAAGGGAAAGGGAAGACGTTTGTTAAAAGCAAGAAAAAGACACCCCAACACGGCTTCCCACTTCACCTCCTACCCCCAGGACTTGGTCTGGTTCCTTGAATGTCCAGTGGACAAATTCCCACCCCGACCCCAGCAAGAAAACTAGCAGCGCCTTTGCCTGGGTTAAAGGACTTCATTTCCCTATGCTACCGTAGCAACCAGGAAACAACCTCCCTTCACAATGAGAAGAATGTGGTGCCTTGGCCCAGATTTGCAGATCCATGTGGTCTGTAGCAAAGCAACCAGGTCTCAGGGACACAACACGGGTTCACAGGAGCCCGGCGTATACAGCCTACTGTCTGAGGAGCCTTGCAATTCCGCTCTCCTCCCCCACAAAGATGTGCTCTGTCTAAACTGTGTGGCTGGAAGATCCTGGGTTTCCGTGAGAGGGGAAATACGTTTCATAAAAGGCCCAATGTTCAGGGTCTCCTTTGGTTTGCTGTTGAGCTTTGGAAACCCTGAGGCGTGACCAGTTTTCAGCCTTCAAAACCGAGATGAACTGCTCTTGAGAGGGTGTAGTCAGGGAAGAAACATGCTCGGTCTCTCTCTCCTGAGCCGGGGACACGGGAAGTTGGTCCAGAACAAACAGAAGTTGGAAGTCTATTTTGAACCAGAGGTGAGTCTTGGACCTTGGCGGGGGGGGGGGCACATTTTGAGCATGGGGAGGGGTTCTCTGTCTTCCCAAGCTGTGTTTTAGTGAATGTTGGAGTCAAGATGGTAGAGGTCACTGGCAGAACTTCCCCTTTTTGCCTGACCCCCATAATTGCCACAGTAACAGCCCGCCTGGCTCACCCCCACGCCCTACTGCCTTTGCTTGAGCCTGAAGAAGAATCTAGATTATCTGGAGACTGAAAATTTGGTTCAAGACCAGAATTCCCACCTGGTCTGTGGGAGACATTAGGAGAACTGACTGCTATTATCTCTCGGGAGCTGTACTCGGCGGCTGAAATGCTGGTGGTTTTTCTGTTTTTTGTTTTCTTGCCTTTGGGTGGTTGTTTTGAACTTTGTGGAATTCAACCCGCAGGATTCATATTTCATGGAGGACAAAACGCATCTCATTTTCGGAGATTTTTTTAAAGAGGTGGCATAATTTCACTGCTGAGGCCCACCAAGAACAATAAACACTTCGGGGTCCTTCGTAACTTCATAGGTCAAACAGAGAGCTCTATCCTTGTGGTAGCTTGCCATGACATTTGACCTTCACTGTGTTAAAAGATATATATAAAGTTTCAAAGGACTTCAGTGGCCGATGGCATACACTTACAAAGTATATAACTACTTTATAGGCTCCTATATATAGCCAAATTAGGCAATGTTCCTCGATCTGGAATGTATAGGTAGGCTCTCTGTGCGTAGCTGAAATGGTAGTGGGCTGGAATAGTTTCTCATATTTAAACTGGCTACTAGTCCAAGTCTAATTGCCAAGTCATCTGCCGTCCTTGATAGTTCTGACTGCTTGCTTGCCTACCAGGAGATGCAACTGGCCGGTAGCCTGTACTGTGCTCTCCAGAAAGTCTGTAGGCAGCCACGGATCTCCTGAAAGTTGCGTGGAATAAGATGGATTTGGGCACTAAATTCTACTAACTTTTGTTATTGTGTTGGGTTTTTTCTCTGTGAGCGTTTTAGGATTTCTTTTATTATTTTTAATTAAATGTAGGTATGGATAGGATTGCAGAAAGTGGAAGGCAGAGACTGACCTCACACGCTGTCCTCTGACCTCTACACGGCATGGCACTTGGTTGGACATGTGTGTACGCAACTGATGTGAGATTTCCCTCTGTGTGCTGTGATTACCACTGATTAATAAAGAAACTGCTTTGGACCTATAACGAGGCAGAACTTAGCTAGGCGGGGGAAAAACTAAACTGAATGCTGGGAGAAAGAAGGTGGAGTTTGAGAGAAGCCGTGGAGCCACCGCCAGAGACAGATAGGGTGAAACCTTGCCGGTAGGCCACGAACCTCGTGGTAAAATATAAAATACCAGAAATGGGTTAATACTAGATGTAAGAGCTAGCTAGCAATACACTTAAGTGATGGGTCAAGCAGTGATTTAAATAATATAGTTTCTGTGTGATTATTTCTGGAGTCTGGGCAGCCGGGAAACAAACAAGTGTCCTCCCACAACAACACATAAATAAATACAGTTTTGAAAGCTGAAAACTTTTCACAGACAGTTTTGGTTGCAGAAGGATTTCCCACAGTGTCTCAATCAAGGCATCTTTTTCTTTCCTTAAAGGACTATTTGAACTGGAAGTCCCCGGAAGACTATGTCCTGGTCAACAAACCCCAGGATGGAGACAGTGGCAGCCAGCCCTCCTGGGGCCTCTTCCTTCCTAAGACTTTCAGCACAAGAAAGGGGGCGCTGATCCTGTACTCAGAGGGGTTAGCTGTGTCAGTGTGGACACCCAAAGAGAGGAGAAGAGGTCGCCGGAAGAAGCCAGACCTTGAACTGCACACGCTTCAAGACCTCAAAGAAGCCATCTTGGCTTATGGAAGGAGACAGGTGGGTTTGGGAAAGGTGCTGGTGATGTGTTCAGAAATGCGCCTGCAGCTTTGAATGCAACTTCTTGGTCCCCAGGGAGGGAAGGCCTGAACCTCAGATCTCCAGCTTTGTCTATATGTCAAGAATTACTGTCATGAGGCTCACAAATAGTTTATGGGGAAAACTTCAAAAGCAAAAGGACTCCAGTATTATCAATTCATATTTCTCTTTCAGTTACAGGGACTCAAAAATCCTTTTTACACCAGACTGTAATCAGAACCCATGAAACCCTGCCTCACAGCTACGGGCATAATAATTCAACCTCTAATGCTGCTAGCTGGTGGAAATGAGAATTCTTTAACTATTTACCTTGAGTCTTTTGGCATCAGCAGAAGCTAACTACTTTTTCCATCCTGCATTTACTATTAAGGGGAATCTCTGCTGTCCTCTGGTTCATTCTGTCTGGTGTGCTGACATGCATGCATGGCCCCTGCTTTCTAAACCACGTGCATCAGCCCTTTGGCTGAGGCCCTAAAGGAGTCTGAGAATATGTGTCACCCTGAAATTCTCGATTGAGGATGGTGGGAAGGGTGGGTTACTCCCTAGTTTCAAAGGCTTTCAGTCCCAATAAAACTTTAGCTTTTGATAGCAGATCCTTCACACACTGGCTCTCTCTTCTGTATCTACCCCTGTGTCCCACTTCTTCATCCCACTGTCTCAATGATGGACCCCTCAAATCCTCTCCTAATGCAGACTAGCTAGCCCCAGCAACCCCTTTCTCAACTCATGCTTCTGGATAACTCCTACACATCCTTCAAAACAGAACATGCCACCTCACAATCTTCTTACACTTCCCCGGGGAAAAAATACACCCCGGCTTCCTCCTTTGTATCCACATCCCATGGCGCATTGGAAACTAGCCTCTCAGAGCAACCAATGGGATGACATCTCCATTGTGTGACAAGCACTGTGTGAATTGGTTGTGCATGCTTTCAGCATTTCTTAGTTTGTCTCCCACTGTGGTTACCAGGCATCTTAATCACATATCCTACCACCTGCAGACCCTCCGAAAGGAAAACCTCTTCTGTCCCCTCCCTCTCTGAAGTAGAGAGACATAATGGCCTTGACCAAATACCCCTCTGCCCTTTACCACGAAGTCATAAATTCTCAGCTGAAAGGGAAATATTTGTTAAATGTTTACTGTGACTTTACGCTATTGTTTAGTTTAATTGTCCCAATGCCCCTGTGAGATGCAGGTTTTCTCAGCAACCTTCCTCATTCACATGTATCTATCCTTTAAAGACAGGATCTCACTATGTAGCCCAGGTTGGTCTCCAATATTTGATCTTCCTGCTTTAGCACCATGCTGGCTCTTTTGCAGACAAGGAAACTAAAGTTTAAAGGAGTTAGGCATCTTGCTGAGGTCAGTGAGTGACAGAACCAGGATCCAAAGCTGGGTCTGCCGACCTCTCCACGGCTAGCATGGGCATCCTACTGTCTATGAACTTGAAGGGACTCCAGAGGTCATTGTGCCTGGCCCGTTTGTTCTCTTGATCCGCTCTGTTTATGGGGTTGAACACAGGCGCCATACAATTCCAGAGACATCTGTGCCAACATCCCAGCTCTTTGCCAGTAGGGCACATTGGGAGAAGACCAGGAGAGGAAGAAGGGAAAAGCCTGCAGAGTTCCCCTTCCATTCTGCCCCAGTTGACAAGAAACACCTGCAATCCCACACCTGCTCCAGACTCTTGTGGGTGACCCTCAACCCTGCTCTTCCCTTTGTCCTTCTAGAGAAGGGTGGAATCAACTCCCCGAGACTGTGGATCTCAATGTTGCCTCAATATCTATTTAACTTTTGCACACTCCAATCACCTGTAAACAATACCTTAAATCAAATTCCTTCTGTGTTTGACGTTTGTTTGTTTGTTTGTTTGTTTAGAGGGTGTGTCTGCCATGGCAGGAGTCTGGAGATCAGAGGATAAATTCCTCCCTCCGTGTTTAGCACACATGGTAGCACACACCTTTAATCCCAGCACTCAGAAGAGAGAAGCAGGTGGATCTATGAGTTTAAGGCTAGCCTTGTCTACAGAGTGAGTTTCAGGACACCCAGGACCACACAGAGAAACCCTGTGTCAAAAAAAAAAAAACCCAGATAGATAGATAGATAGATAGATAGATAGATAGATAGATAGATAGATAGATAGATGTATATACACTTTAGTCCGTTTTCTGTTGCTGGCACTGAATGCAGCAGTACAGCAGGCTGGGTAATTTATACAGAATAGGGATTATGCCAGCTGGTTGGTACAAGTGCCTGGCATTCGTATCTGCTCCACATCTGATGACATGTCCGAGGCAGTCAAATATTCTGAGAGCCAAACCAAGCATGCTGTCTCAGGCCTTTCTTCCTCTGCTTATAAAACCACTGATACCATGGGGCTACCTCATTCTCTAATCCTGCAGCAGTACCGAATTGTTAGACCAGAAGTCAATATCAGGGATCTTTCTCAGTCACTCTCTACCTTACTTTTGAGAGAGAAACCTCTCACAAAACCTGGAACTCACCCGTTTGACTTGAAGGGTTGTTCAGTGAGCCCCAGGCATCCTCTTGTCCCGGCCTCCCCAGTGCTGGGATTATAAGCAGGTGCTGTTACCTGCATTTTTATGTGGGTGTAGGGATCCAAACTCGGTTCTCCATCCTCGTAGGGCAAGTATTTACCAACTGGGCTGTGTCCCCAGCTACAAACTAACATTTTCTGGCTGTTATCTGTACCGGGAATTTTATCTATGGGATGTCACTCAGTCAGAACAAACCTATGATATGGGCGTTTGTGGGAGGAAAAAACTGCGGACTTGAAATTAAATAATTTACCCCAAATCGTACACCTAAGCTATGCAGCTGAAATATGAGATTAGACAATTTGTTCTAAAGTTCTACTCAACTTCAGACACTACTTGCTTCTGGGGAAACCTGTGTCTCCCACGTTCTGGCAATATTTGTAAGAAGCAGAGCTGGGGGTGAGGGGTGGGTGCAGCTCAGGGAAAGAGTACTTGCCTTGCATGTGTGAAATCCTGAGTTAGTACCTCAATCTCCTTAGCACTGGGGGAGGGGGGCCAGCAAGGAGACAGGCAGGCAGAAAGACAGAGAGACAGAGAGAGGGAGAGAACTGGATCCGGAGACAGAGAGAGGCAGATAAACAGAGAGGAGAGGAGAGGGGAGGG